GCACTGATTAGCTGTGCAGGATTTCTTTTCGTATACTCGTTCAACATGTTCATTTTTCATCTATTTGTATTTCAGCCTAAGTTAGCGTGTATTCCTGAAGGGGATTGGTATTGTATGGACTGCATCGTGCTTGTAAGTCAACATTGTCAGGGCAATTCTTTATTATAATTATGGAAGCTTTGCCTGTATTGTCCCAGTTTTTTTTTGCTTTACATATTTTTAGTATTGTGTCCACTACGTCAGTAATGCTATACTGTTGTATCCTCCAGGCATCAGGTGGGGATAACTGTTGTGTGTGTGGTGGAGCTGTTGGAAAGATGGCTAAATGTGATAACTGCCCCAGGAACTTCCATCTGCAGTGTCTGGAACCGCCATTAGTCAAGTAAGAATTCCCCTTTCTAAAGTTCAAAGCTTGTCTGGTGTGCTGGACTGCGAAGAGTCCTGTGTTTAGTTTTCTGCAGCTTCCTTCCGTCTTGCTTGTTTGATATACTTGTAATCAATTATTTTGTATTTCAGGTTGCCACGCTCTTCGTGGACATGTCCCAACTGCAAAAGAGTAAGTTGTACCATAAGAGAACGCGAGGCAACTTCCTGGGTCATTTTATGTGACCAGAAGATATCATTAAGGAGTTACGGCATCAATTTGAACAATAGAACTAATTGTGTCGTTGTTTTTTTTCATAGCGGAAGGGAAAGAATCGCACTACAACGCGCAAAAGGGACAAGAAAAAGGAACGCGAAGCAGAGGCTGAAGCTCGAGCAGAGGCTGAACTACAAATGGAGTTGGAAAGAGAGGAAGAAGAAGAAGGAGAAGAAGAGCAAGATGAAAGGGATTCACAAGAACCTAGACATCATGTTAACAGGAAACAAACCTCCAAGGATATGGCGCCTTGCCGAACAATACTGGCTGAGATGGAAAAACATGATGATGCATGGCCATTCTTGATACCAGTCAATGCCAAACAGGTTGGTTATTAAGGCAATTGAATAAGATACATACATTGTATCAGATATGAAGTGTATAGTTAATAGTTAATATACAATAGATTTATAACTGATTTGTAYTGTAATCATCCAGTTTCCAGAGTATTACAAGATTATACGCAAACCAATGGATTTCCATACGATGAAGATCAAATTACGAGACTACCAGTAAGTAAAGACATGCAATATTTGTCTAGAAGGGGTTCTGACGTCTTTTACCATTGTGTTATCGTTAAATGGACCTCTTAGTAARACTCTACTTTTTTCCCTCAGATACACATGCCCTCAAGAGTTCGTTGAAGATAGTCGGCTCGTGTTTAGAAATTGTAACGAGTTCAATGAAGACGATTCCGAGGTATGTGCCGCATGAATTAAACTGTACGGAYAGAAATGACAAGATTGGGACCTTCTGTCCTGATGATCAATCARCCGGGCTAGCTAAGAGCGTCGTTACTGTAACAAAACTTATGTATGTCATTTAAACAATCATAGAGTCGTGGCAGGGTGCGTGATAAGTCTAATATCTTTTTTCAGGTCGGACAAGCAGGAAAACGAATATCAATTTTCTTTGAAAACCGCTGGAAGGAATTAATGGCACAAGAAAGCTAGACATGACATTTTTACTTGCGAATCGAGGTAAGAATCATTTCGAATCCTAGATTCATATTTTACGACAAATAATGTTCATAGTAGAAACATGGATTAGAGCTGACAAAGCAAGGTAAATTATTCTAGAAACGGAAATCGGATTTTTGCAACGAGCAAAATTTACTTATCCAACATGAAAGCACCTGTCTGCTATCAAACAGGCTTTACCGAGGCCAATGTGTCTGTCATTACCGAACAGTGACWTTTATAAATTTGAAATCATCTTGTCTGGTCATTATCATTAACTTGTCTTTTATTGCTTTTAGGTGCTTTCCTTGCAAGAATACTTTGGTTGCTTTTAGTCAAGACATTGGACTGTCATCCATAAATTACAATAGGGGAGGGAGGAAAGATCAAACAATAAAGTAAATTTGATCGTAATGATTTTAAAATTGTGCTGAATTAGCTCAGTAATAAAGCCAGTGAATTACAGGGTGGCGGGGAAAATCGCTGATTTTTCAAACATTCAAAGTGTTCTAGTTTTCTAAAGTGCAATTTTCTTCAAMTGTAGGAGTTTAGTGATTTATAAAGGAAATAATGGAAAAAGCTTTATATTAACTTTAATACGGTTTCTCTTTGTGTGTTAAACCCCAGTAATTCATTTTTAGCAGTGTGTACATGTCACATGTAAATATCAAGTCAGTACTGACCGTGCTTATTTTGAGAAACTATTTAAAAAACACTCGAACATGGCTTTAAATACAGAATTGTATAGTTTCAATAAACCTTAAAGTAACATTTTCTATGGGATTTTTACTGATATGATTGTAATAATATTGCGAAAAATAAATACCAACGATTTGAATACTTGTTGTGTTGAATACTTGCAGTGAACTCAACTGGTGAAGTGGTAGAGTGTTTGCTTTAGGGCCATGACAATGTTGGGACCGTCATGCGCGATGGTCTCTCAGCAATTTGCGGAGGTGATTCTTGATTTTGGGCTCATTTGCTATGTTGGTACGTTTTTCACAGCATAACAACCTGCCATGATTCTGAGAATTATTGGGATGGGACGCGGGCCATACCAATACATTGTGTGGTTGAAAGAGAAATTGGATGGATTATAGGTACTGTAAGTAAGAAATGTGGTGTGAGAGAAACATCCCGTGATTCTGCAGTTGTTTCCTCTAGCGTTGGAATCTAAATAAGAAGTGACAGGAGACTCTTATGACTAGGATGAGAAATCATATATTTTATTTTCCTTTCCATTCTGTTGCTTTTAATATCATGTGAGTCAGAAGATTTACCCAATGACAGAACTCATGTACAGTCTCTACAGCTATTTTTWAAAAGGTTGGTGGTTTGTTGCAGGTTGCTTACAAATCATGCAACAAAGCTCTCACGAACAGCTCTTTTGAAATAGCTGTAAACTCTGTGTACCTCAGTCGGTTGGTACGTATAGCTATTAAAGGATAACCAGGCCTCTCCATGTACTAGTAATCTTAAAAGAGCAGAAAAACTAAGCACTGAAGTCAATCTGTCACGCTCAATGGTGTTACAAGAGACATTATGAAGCACTGCGCTCAACTCCCAGTAATAAACAGAATTTATTATAATATGTTTGGTATGGCATTTTAATTATCAGCTYGCTTTTGTTGTTTTTCTTCTCTTTCCTTATCAAACAACAATAAGGCTAGCTGTGAACGTGAACCCATGGCCTCTGCTTTTTTCTCTAGGCAAACACGGCTAGACTGATCAATATTGAAACATGTTGTCTTTTCGTATTTCTTTCTCAAATCCACATCAACGGCCCTAAAAACCTGCAGCTTACTTTTGATGAAAATGTTTACAAAGTCTTGGGCATGGAGCTCGGTTTCCTTCAAGAAGTCTTGGGAATGAATGCGATTGTCTTTGTAATCTTTATTATTGAAGCATGCAAAGCTGTAGATGTCGGTATCCCAGTGACCAGTGTCTCTAGTAAGTGGTATTTCATCTGGCACTTTGGTATGAYGATAAACGATGTCAGGATCGTAATATGAAAACGGGATCGGAAAGAAAACCTAAAGAGAAACAATATCTTGTTATGGTAATTGTATTTTTAAAAAAACGGTTTCTTTCTCCATTCTGTTTCCTTATTCCTTCCTTTATTCTTTCTTAACTYTTTCCCTCGTTTCCCTTCCTTTTGTTAATGTTGTGCCACCCACATGGTGCCTAAACTTTACAAACGTTTCAATAAGCCTTTTCATAGTTTAAGAATCGATTCCACTGCGCATGCGATTTGATCCCGAATTTCTCACCTTTAGTCTAAACCTTGTTTTGTTCTTAATTAAATAAAAGAAGGTGAGAAATTCGGGATAAAATCGCATTATAGAAACGCAAGTTTCGTTCTACTACAATGATGCTAAAACAAGCTATCAATGGGAACTGCCATAAAATTATGTTGAATAGCAAAGAAACCACTTAAAAGAAAAGGTTCAAATCTTAATAATTTTCTCAGCAATAGTTTAAAAAATGCAAGACTCAAACTGAATATTGCAAGAGTCATTCAAAAACGAACCTGCTGTCCATTGAGAGCATTCACACGACATCTGTTTAGGAAATTGATCGTAAATTGAACTCCAAGTGAAGTAAGGAAAATAAGAGCATTAGATGGTAGCTTCATAGTTACAATATCCATCAGCAAAGATAGAGAGTTAAACTGGACACCGATCTGGATCCATGGGAATTGGGCCCAGGTGTACTTCTGCTTGTATCTATCAGAAAAAGACAATATATGCAAATAACATTAAAAAGCAAATCTTCAAGTCGCTGAAYTTTCAGAATGGCTTACTTTGGATATTATTTATTTAATAAAAAGTAAATGCATTCAAAATAAGATTTGAGGCTTGCTAATTGAGCCAACATAGCAATATCCCCCCTGTATATATTCTGGTCATGCCATGGCTAAGCAACGGATAGAATTTGAAATTCACTCATTAAGTTTTGTTGAGGGAGGAAAACCGGAGAACCCAGAGAAAACTCTCAAACAAAGGAGAGACCTAACAAATAAGAGAATATAAAATTGGAAAAGGCTGATAACATAAGCAATGCAGATAGTACTGTCAGTAGTAGAGTACCAACACTAAATGTRTGCAACATAAATATCACTAAATAATGTTATCTTGTGCTAATTCTATTGTTTTCTTTTGTTTAATTAGTGCTATTTACTACCAAATAGTGATAACTATTGCACACATTTAGTATTTGTACTCTATTGCAAAAGAAGAACACAGCTAATTAAATATCACAAACAAAGCAAATAAAAATAAAGAAAATAGTTCAAGAAATAAAAACATACAAATTCAGCAAAAGACTAAGTTAAAAACACTCACAGGAAATATAAGAGAAAATTATAAAAATTCAGCAAATCACCTTGTTATGAGTGCCTTCCCTTCAGCAAACCTATCCTGTGCTTGCCCACCATCAACATCATCTCTCACATTCACAAAAACAGTAAGAAGAACCACATTCTCTCCAGACTGCAGGCAAACCCTTTGGTACATCTTRAGGAACTGTTCTAGTTTCTCAATTTCTCCCTTTAGGACTGGCACTACCAAGTGAATCCCTCTTTGCTCTGTCGTTGCTGTCATCTGGATACTCTCCACCTTGGTGAATGGTCTTAACATGTACACTCTACGTCTCTCATTTTTTCCTGAAGAAGCCTTGAGCTTCATATCAAGGATATACTCTGCCCCACGGTGAGGATCTATCCGTCTGTACCCATTAATAAGATGAGCAGATTTTTGAGGTTCCTCATGGGTTAACATTTTGACTGCACTATGTATGACTTCAGCGACATCTTGTTTAAATGGTCCTTCWAGTTCAACTTGTGGTTTAACTTCAGTAGAACCATATGTAACATTCCCATTGAAGTATTCCCATTGAATGACTTCAAAACGAGACGTAGGTCTAAATGGCTGTCTGAATCCAATGGGCCATGCTGGATGTTTCTCAGGGACTCCTAGAAATYAAGGTGAATTTAGGCAAAAGATGCTTATCAAAAAATGGAAAAAGATCTTCTACACAGATAAATTAATATAGTTAAAGCTCAACATTTTAAAGTTTTCACCTACAAAGTCCTTATGAATCATATAATAAACAGCAATATCAAGGTATATTTGAGATAATTTAATATGAAAACTTTTAGAAAAAAAGTTTGGTCAGCTATACAAATTGAAATTAGGTACAGTACCTTCTGGTAGGAATGGAAGCATATCTTTGATAGCAGTCTGAAGCATGCGTGTCTCTACAAACGTCCTATTCAGTTCAACTTCAGTAAAGTAACGATGAACATGGTACATGATGATTGGGTCCTTCATGGGGTAGAAGGTAATAGCATGGGGAGYATGCCTTTCTTTGATCATAGCCAAGACATTTTTCTGTTTTTCATTAGGAATCTCAAAAAACATTTCAGAGGCCTGAAAAAGAAATGTATAAATTTTATTGTAGTTATCCTATTTTTTACTATTCAAAATTACAACCATAAAAACCTTATCCCTGCAGTTTCATAAATTCTTAAGAATTAATACAGAAAATATAAAGCTATACATGTGCAAAAAAAAAAAAATTAAGTCATAATTAAGAACAAAGGTAAGAAAACTCTACCATGAAACTTAAATTGTTTTCCTGCCAACTCTCAATAAAGAATGTTTCTAAAATGTTAACAATATTCTCAGCTRACAAATATGCTTTAAAGTTTTAAAAATTATATTATTTTAAGTTGCTTCCAAAATTATTGAAATTATTTAAATAATTCTCTCCTAATTACTTTTTCTTGGCAGTTGACTTGGCTTGATTTGAGCTCTCTTTGCTCAGCTATTGTTTGGTTTGCTCTACATTATTTTAAGTTTGTGGTTTTCAACTTAACCTTAGTTTTATTACTTTTAATTCTTATTTCAATTTATAGAATGTAATTATGTCATACATATTTCAATAGCAGAGAAAGTACTATTAGTATCATGATGTATATTGGTGACAGACTAATTAAGCCTTAATTCCACATAATTGATGGAATGAGCCTCTATAAATGTTTCTAATAGTGCTGTAGGTAGGAAACACACCCACAGAGAAAGAATGAACAAGACCAAGAGACTTCTATCGAATGACTGGAACCTTATGAAGTGCTGACCTAAAGGCACTGTAAAATGATATTAATAACCTAATAACTTATTTAAGAAATATATTGATTCATTAGAAAAAACGTTTAAAGACACCTATAACTATGCTAATTACATATTAAGGAGCTATGTAATTTAAGGCAGTTCAAAGATAAACAGAAAAAGTTTTTTAAMGATTCAGTGCATACAATCTTGGACATAAAACTTGTAGATAAAATCGTTAATAAAATAAAATGCAAGACAATTTCGTTTTCACACAAATTAATATCCCATATTCACGTCCCGCTAAAGTAATGTTGAATGTTGAATGCTATAATTAGACAACCAACATAATATTGATCAAAATACCTAACAAGAATGAATATAATCAGATGTTTTACAATTTCTTGCCGTTTTGTCCAAGATTGAACATCTATATTTTTGTTACTCGTAAAATCGCAAAAATGGGTGGACATCCCTACTCAAATGATATCTCCATTTCATTCAGTATTTTCCACTTCATTTTTTAATATAAAACAAATTTACTGAAAAATGTACAACAGGTATTTTCATGCAAAAAAAAAAGTCGTAAGAAAAACAAGAAGCAATAATTTATTAGAAGATGTTAATTTTTTTAACAGAAAATGATAATTACAATACTAACCTCATACCCCCAAGTACATTGTACCCCCAAGTTGTTATACAGACATCTTCCAAGCTCTTTATCATCACTGTCTGATAAAGCATCTTCTAAACAGCTGTCCAAGAAAGGAGCAAGTCTCTGTAAWGTATTTCTAGACAGTATCACCCCTGTCTTTCCTGAACAGTATCTCTCATGAGTGTATAAATTGGTGTCTTGGTTACCATTTAGCCCCTCTGCTGCAGAACTAAAGGAGGCAGCAGCCGGTCTCCCAATATATGAACTCTTAGAGCTATTGGCAGAATTAACAAACTCCATTAATTTTTCAGGTTTTATATAGATACTGTCTTCGACCCTTAGAAACCATTCGTAGTTATTAATATGGTGTTCATACATGTATTTCAACATTTTAAATGATAGCTTTAGTAGGGGCGCTGTGTCTTCTTCAGAATCCACGTCCAACTGTACAACAGGGAAACCTAGAACTTTAGTATACTTTTCATGAAATTCGGCGTCTCTTGAATAAGGGATAAAAAATATAACACGAGGTAGTTCTGGTGCCCATGTGTTGTTGATAGCTAGGACAAGTGAATCGAGATGATCTTCTGACGTTAAGACACCAACTAGAAGTTTTTCTCGCTTTCCTAGTTCACTTGCTATGTAAAATGGACGAAGACCATCATTAAAATGGCTTGCTTTAGGAGCCACTGTGGCGTGAACGACACGCTCCGGCTTCTCTGAAACAATAGGATCGTGGGTTTCCCTTTTTGATTCCTGCAGTTTTATTTGTCGGCTGTTCATGAGGTAAACTTGAGATTCTTCAAGATCGTAGAGACACTGTTGCTCAACTATTGGGATATAAAACATGGACAAGGCAAAACCAAGACTAAGACCAATTATCGCTGGAACCACAGGACGAAACCGGACCCAAGAGCGAACTGATTTCATTTTTCCTCGATATCTATGACCAGATGTTTCCTTAGGGACTGGACTGTCTGGATAGTGATGAATTAGAGTTTCAGGAGAATTAAAGTCCTCTGAGTGRAAAGCCTTTCGGTGAACGGCTTCCATGACCAGAATTCTTTCCGAGTGCTTTCATTTCCATCACTGAAACCAATTGTTTGAACAGATAGTTTGCGTAAACATAAATGGACCACTCAAACTCCTCAGAACTTATTTCTTTTGTGTTGGCAGCAGCTAGTAAATATCTATTAGCTTTTTTCAAGCGTGTCATTGGYTGTGGCGGCCATGAATGATTCATGTAATTTACGAGGCCTTCGATAGCAAGTCGTGTGAAAATCACCGGTGTCAACTCTGGTGGTCAGTGACCCATTTACTAGAATGAAATATGTCTTCTATCGAATCTTGAGCAACATCAGGTCTTTCGAATAMCGTATTGAGAGTCGTATTGAGATTAAGACTGTCTGTACAATGTGTAGAGTTGATCAGAGTTGATCAAGAAATCAAATAAGACATGCAGAACGCGAGAGACTGGGTATAAAAGAAGAGGAGGAAAGGAAAGGAGAGAAGGAGAGGAGGGAAGGAGGGGAGGGGAGGGAAAGGGAAAATGAGAAAGGAAATAAACATGAAGAATAAATAAAAAGTTATCAAGAAAACAGCAAATTTCATAGTTCTTTGGCCACAATACATACCACACTTCCGTTGCAGATCTCAGTTCTTCCTTTAATGAGTTTCTTAAACTACCGGTCCGTTGTAGTTTTCGTTCTAGCCCTCCGCAAGCAATGGTTTTAGAGTATCGTCTGAAATTCTTCTAGAAATCTAAGATCTTCAAATCAAGTAAGCAAGAAAAGTACATTTTGGAAAAGATTTTGCGAAAATTATATTTTTGTGTAATAACCGGACGCTGGTGATCGAGGTTTGTCCACCGGACACAGGATACCCGCAGAGCCTTGTGGGTTTGACATGTTGGGTAAGGGAATTCAAGAACAAAGGTATTTTATTTATATTAAGAAATTCTGCTAAAGTCCTTGAATTTGAATATATCTATATGAACGGAAAGCACATAACTTTTTTTAGCAAACAAGGATGTTCTTGGTTTTTGAAGGACACCAACATTACTTGACGTAAGCCGAGAAAAACCCTTAATTAAATGCTGCACTGAGTGAGTCCAGCCTGGCTGTGCTTTTCATGCGACCTTTGTATCGAAAACTTCAAGACAACACTGCTAACACACAGCGAACTTCAAATGGAAAGAAATTTAGAAATACGCCGTCCAGTTCACCAGGACCATCATGGTTTATCCACCGTCTCCAAGATATTCTTTGGAGTTGATATTTTCCAAGGTACGTTTGAACATGGGACTTTTTGACGAAAATTTTAGGCTTCAGCGATAGTAAGCATAAGTCTAAAGTAATGTACCCTGGTCCCAGAGGCTGGACGATTTTTCTCCAAATAAGATATCTTATATGATATCATATGTTGATAGTATGGTAGTTGATTGTATTACCTTTGAAGAGTTCATTAGCTATCTGTACTCCATTTATCTTTTTGAGACTTATTAATTATCATTAGCTTTAGTAAAACTTATTGAGTCTATAATTAACTTATGAGTTAAGATAACCTTATGATCAGTATACGTGATAAAGCTCACTACTATCAAACCAACCAAGTGCCAAATTATTCCACTTAAATTTTTCTGTAAAATATCTAAAGTCATAAAACCTTATTTGTTTGATTGTTTTTCTAATAATCGATATGTAAACTATGATTTGGCTTGGTTGTCATATCGGAAAAAGTCCTTCCTCTGACCTTTAGATAGGAAAACCGCGGAACATCTTAAGGTTAAAAATAACAGGCACACTTTTCATTGACTTTTATTGTTATCGGCCTCCCACATATTAGAGATCCACTAATAATGTTATATTTACCATTGTTATTTATACGTACGCGTATTTAAGCCAATTGTATGTGCTTTGCATTACTTCACATAAAAAGTAATCTAATCCCTATATGCGTCTATATAGCTAGATAAACAGTAATTTATGTATTTTTTTAAACAAGGTATTTACAAGTATTAAGGCTCATGTCATTTCCTGATCTCCAAAATGTTTTTTTATTTTATTTTTCTATGACTTAATAATTTTTTTACATGTAAAAATTAACCACACGAAAATATTGACAGGCTTTTTATTTGGTCATGTGTTTTCAGCTGTCCCTTCCGGCTACACAATTAATGAAGACATAATTAACAATATTAAAACAGCTCTTTCCATGCTCTGTTCAGTAATAAAGCACACAGGGAGTGACGTAAGCACGAAAGAAGTTCAAGGAGAAATATGAGCCTTAGGCGAGTGCTTCTCACACGCCATGAGTGCTTACGGCGCTTCCTAAGTGTTTTATTACTGAATGAAGCAAGGAAAAAGCTGTTTTATTATATAGTTACTAATTGTTTTGCTTTCATGAGAAAAAGAAAGAAATTACTGTATTTCAATGTTTTAGCRTCACCCCCGATTAAACAACACCCTCAAATGAGCGCCGTACCTAAAACTAAAATTATTTAAAGCATGGCCTCAAAATAAGTGCTACCCCCGAATAAGCACTTCCCCTGATGAATTGAAGCCACATATTAAACCCAAAAATGTAATAAGCTTGGACAAGTAAATAYGGCATCCTACAAATGCAGTACTAATAGACTCAGTTATTGAAAAGGACAATGACATTGACGTTTGAATTTGAACTTTAAAATTCATTGGTATATTGTATTTTTTAAATGTTTGTATTCACTTTATGATAAATAAGGGTTTATACAATCATTATGTATATGGTAAACAATTTTTTATAATGAGTGATGCCCTCGAATAAACACCAACCCCAAATTAACTCAGCATGTGAAACCCCAAAAAATTAATGAGCTCCATGCATGGCACTCAAACGAGTAAATATGTTACTGATTGATTGATTTTTTTTTCAGTGGTAATCGTCGTAACATTTCAGAGTGTCATGATAACATATGGAAATTATAATGCATTTAACAGCCCAGAGGTACAGTAAAGATAAAAGATCTTGAATATGAACTTCAAATTTTTGTCTATATATTATTATCCCAGGCATTACACTTATTTTTTAAGACAATTTCCACTATCTCACTGTTTTCAGGATTTGACCTTAATAAACTGTTTAGTTTTATTGACTTGGATGGTAAAGAGGGTCTGGGGATAAGATGGACAAGAAACGAGGTCCTGGTTTAACAATCCCTTGATTTTTTGAATATTAATATTCATGATGGTAATTTTGATTGATGGTTGCCAAGGAGTCGGTTAAGTAGCAGAAACTTGAAACAAATTGAATTTCCTTTTATAATAGCTGGCATCAAGCTGTACTTAGCAATCTTAAACATTCCTGTGAGTAGTTAGAAGGATAAGCAGCATTATAGAGCTGGTCTACACAGTTTGTTTCTTTTTTCTCTATACTGTTGTGCTATACTGCTGAGATAATTATATTATGAGTATTAATAATTATTAGTATATGTAATAGGACTCCATAATTGGACGAGGAAAATTCCGAGGACTTCCAAAATTGGATGAGGCCATAGGCCGAGTCCAATTTGGCAGTCAGAGGAATTTTTTGAGTCTAATTATTTCTTGATTATTATATTATTTTCTGACATTTAATGAAAATGGTTGTTTTTTTTAGAACCCTGGAATGGGACCAGGACGCAGGATCTACATGTGCGTGTACATGGGTGTCGTTGTTTACACCTGCTTCCTATGCCTCTTTGCTGTAAGTTGGAGTATTTTTGGTATTCAATATAGAGTTTCATGAACTGTGTTTGGTCAAGCGACCAGTGATTATCAATAATTATAGAGGTTACATTATAAAGTTGTGTTTTAATACAGCCACATAATCTTATGAATGAAAGTAGCCACATATTTTCAAGCCTATTGTTTGATTATCTCTGTTTGGTACTACAACTAGTATTTGTTTCACTGGTTTAGTGTGAGCACTCTATGGGAAACAAAATAAAATAAAATAAATCACTTTTATTTAAGTGTCTAGTCGTTCTAGCACTTTCACACTAATTGGGGACACTTTTCGCTCACACGCACTACCACTGCATTTCATATTCTATGCACACAACACTCAACTCACATGTTGATTTTACGGAGGGAGGAAACCGGAGAACCCGGAGAAAACCCTTGTAGCATAGGAGAGAACAACACATCAAACAAACTCAATTCACATGTGGTGACATTTACACCTCAGGTGAACAATAAATTGTCAATTATAAAGCTGGTTCCTACAATCTGAAATCTGAGAAATATAATCCTTAGTCAATATAAATATTTGAGAAATTTAGATAAACATTTTATTCTCATACATTGGCTGGTTGTATTTGTTTGTAACTGACTTTCTTTCTTATCCCCAGGTCAAGCAACAAAATATACTAGAAATTTTTGCCTTTTTGCTTCAAAATTTTGGATTTGTAACCTATGGATTAATTCAAGGTACTAGTAATATTAATTGCCTATAATCTATAACTAAGGTTTGGGTTGCACTTAAGCCAAACTAAAATTTGATTGTCAAATTTTCTCCAAAGTTTTGGTCTTTACACTGGAAATGCTTTTTTTTTTTTTTTTTCCTTGATGTGTTAATGTGGTCGCACTGACGTTTGCAAACTATAATGGCAATGTGACAGTTTATAAAAGCCAGATGCCAAGCAATCAAGCAATCAACTATTTTATTTTGCGTGTTTTTTATAAACAAACACCCTAACAATGTGCCCAGTGTGCAATTCTTACACCTGGAGAGCTCCTTGTCCAATAAATTCATGTTTTGAAATGCACTATGACAATCCAAATATCCCTCAAGATTATTTTTGTAAGCAAGTATGACTTAACAAGGATACATTAACACTCTATTGAATTCGGCTCTAGTTGATCAGATATCAGGGTTCTGTTTTTCTGTAAGATGACAAGCGATGATAGTTCCCGCCATGATTTCTTTTGTTTAGAGAAAGTTTGACCGAATTGTCCAGTTTCTACCCTGTTTGACGGCACCTTTGATATTTTGGTCAGTTGACAAAGTTTCAAAATTTACTGTCGCACTAGATATGGACTCGTGATGACAGGTTTTGTTGGATCAAGACACCAAATTCTACCAAAATTTTTCTAGTACAAAATGGGCCTAACCTAGTATTAACAGCAGTGCAAAAAAAAAAAATCAATCAAGTATTGAATCAATCAATCAACCAATCAATCAATTAATAATTTTGTTTATAATGGATGATATACAGCTGACAATAATTTAACTTGGAAAAACTTGTGGTCCTCTTTTGCCTTAGTCTCTAGTTGCTTAGGGAGTAGTCTCTCCTGCAGCCGCTTTCAGTGTTGTCACGCAACTGAGTAGCTACTCAGGGGAGAAAGCGTTGTGTAATGACACTGAAAGCGGCTGTGGGGGAGACTACTTAGGGAGGGGACTGTCATTAACATGGTCATCTGAGCCATGTGAAGGTCTAACCAATTACGAAAGCAACACTTTCTTATCAGTTATTTACTTTAGTTTTCAATATTCTGCTATATTATTTTGATATTCTTGGTAGTTGTGAGCTGTGTGCTGAAGTTTGATTTTTAGCTGCCATTGATCAATCAAAAATAATCAGTCAGTACCTTTTATATTCTTGAGTGGCTGCAGTGAAAAACCAATTTCACAACAAACAGTTGAAATGTTTAATGGGCATGCAGAATTCAAACACTGCAGTAAGACCCTGAGTTGGTCCTTAACCGATGCTTGAACCAGACTCACATAACAGACCCACACTCTTACCAACTGAGTTTATTTATTATATATTCCTTACTTTACAGTATATCATGTTGGGTATAAGGAACTGCCTATTCCAGGAAGCAACGCAACAATGCAACACAATAATGTATTGCGTAATGTAGCAATGACAAACGTAAGTAGATTTGTAGATTGTAGATGTATTTATTTGGATTTTTTCAAGAATTCTGCATTTACCAGTTAAATTAACCTTGACCTTTTAGCTCATAGCATTGTCCTTATCATTAGTCAAAACAATCTTGCTGGTGTTAGAGCCTAGTGAGATAGGAAATCTTCAAGGTTGATGGCTGGCTTGGATTTATGGGAGGCCATTGCCGGGAAACAAGATAAAAAGAAAAACAATATAAAGAGATTGTAATAACAAGAGCTAAATATGGAATGAATAGCAAACAGTATATTAYGCAACTTTTAATGCATTTTGTTGGGTACTCAAATTACAGAGTATCTGCAGGCCTTCATGCCATTATTGTCCTACAAAGGAGAGCTGAAGTTAATTCGTAATAATTAAAACTTTAGACACATCAAACAACAAAATAGTTCTGTCATCCTGTATCCCCATATCACCTGTTGACATTGCAATGCAAAACATGCATTTCCAACTGCTGTCATTGTCCTCTCATATGATCATTTATATTTGTAAAACTAATTGTCTTTTTTAATTCAACAGTCTATTGCACTTTTCTTTTTGAATGGAGTTTTTATTTTTTTATCATGGAAGTTATACACTGAATTTGGATGGAAGATTTATAAAAGAGTTAGATTTAACATGTCACTAAGATGTAAGTTTCCTTTAATTGTGGCCAAAGTGAAATTAGCAATCAGTCCCCAAGCTTAAATGGGCTATTGACTCATAGGCTATGTAATGTGGGTGAAAGGACTATTTATTGTTTTAGTGAAATCCGACTATCGGTCAAATATATAGATGTTAAAATGTACAAGTTTTGAATTAATTTCAATTTAATGTTTTGGGCCAGGTTGTTCAAAGCTGGATTAGTGCTAATCCAGGATTAACTCTATAGGTCTTATTAAGAGTTAACCCAGGATTAGCACTAATCGGGCTTTGAACAACTGGGCCCTGGTTTTTAAAGCCAGCACTTTTTGCTACTCCCAAGGATATAACCCATAGCCTAGTAGTTAGCTCTTCCAATCAGAACACAGCCTTGATGATAGACCACTAGTTGGATTTGACTAATTTGGGATAACCTGTTAATCTAAAAGGTCAGTCATATATAGACAGTTGTGGCAGCAATGTTGACAGTTGTTTGTAGAAGCTGTGTGTTCTTTAGTCTAGTCTTTTAATGTCTTTTTYGTTTCTTTACAGCAATTTATCATTTTTATCAACTTCTTTCTTGTCTACTCAAAATGGAAATCATGTATTGGGTAAGAAAATAAATAACTGTATGAATTGGAGGTTGTACTTTTTAGGTTTCTTTTTGGGAGGGGGTGGAGTGGAGTTACAAAAGGGTAATAAGGAATAGGCATGGATAAGCACCTTTATCAGAATTCAGAGTGTCATTAAATCATTAAATTGTGTTGTATTTCTTGTACAACAACTTAATTCAGAATAATTGTACAATGATTTTTAATTTGCTTTATTCATTTGTTGTTTTGTGTGTGTGTGTGTGTGTGTGTGTGTGTGTGTGTGTCCTGAATTGACCTTCAGAAGAATACTAAGGTCAATCAATCATACAATGAGGATTCAAGATATCTTGATTAGTAGTTGAAATGCTACTAATGTTTTCTCCTTTCCCAGTGGATGTATGCCATTTGTAACAGTTTTGTACTTCTCCGTGATACTGGTACAGTGATGTATTATGTCAACCTGGTGTTTATTCCATTGTCTGTCTTCTATGCTGGCTTGGGATACATTGCAGTAAGTATTGCTCTATATATATCTGTTATCACTCTCATATAATAAAATACACGGAGCATGCTAGAGCATATTAATAAGATAAAGACTGCTGGGCACGCAGAAGCCCATTCCTCTCCATGGTACCTGATGCATCAGACATGGTGTAACAAAAATTAATAACTTCTAAATTGATAACCACTATTGAATCAGTTACATTGCATGATTCGTGTTTGTCCAAACAGAATGCTCAGACATGGTACCCCCGGGGGGGTACTCCCATATATGGACTATACGGGGATGATCYGCTGAACAGGGTATGGTTTCTCGAGCTTCTTGTCATAAACAGGGTATGCAATTTCACTCAATGTCCAAATTCTTCCTGAGTTTCTTGTCATATTTAGGGTTCCTACTTTCGTATTGACCGAAACTGGTTATCATGGTCATAAAAAAACGATACGCGAGATGACATGATAGTTGAAACAGGGACTCAGTGGAATTAATTATATCTTTTGTCATAAACAGGGTCTACAAATTTGATTTTTTTGTCATAAACAGGGTACCCCTTTCAGAATCCCAGCGGAACAACCTACCCAAATTCTGGCGGAGTACCCCCCCCCCTCCCCCCCGGGATGGTACCATTAAGGTTGTACTATCAATGCTATCTAACTAATAATTTCTCCCTTTTTTCCAGACTCAGCGAGAAATTAAGATTCTTATGAGTTTATTTATTATATGGACAATAGGCGGAGCAGGCTACTTTCTTTATAAATTATATGGGTTAGTATGTGTATTGTATCCAGATAACAAGTTACAGTATGTTCTTGCTATCTTGGGGATGGTATGCACATCTACCAAAAACTTAGAAAATCAAATTACTGTTGTGGCACTTTTCATCGTATCTGTAAAGTTCTTACTAGGTAATAATTATTTATAGATTCGTAAGTGATACTTGTAATGGCTGTCAAGAATTTCACAAGACAGGAAAAGATATACATGATGAAGCTATGCTACACTTTGTCTACCTTGGTGAGTGGACATACGTCTCTTTGTACCAGTACAATGCATCCTTTTTGTGTTGGGATTAATTAAATGAAATCTTTTTTCTACACTTTTAGGTTCTCTGAACCTTATTTTGTTGTTAGCCATACTGGGCGTGTCATCCAAGGTGTTTGCTAATTTTGGTAAAGGGCTTGAGGAACACTGTAAGTTTATTTTCTCATACGCTGTTTTGATTTTTCTTAGCTTCGAATATATGCGTCAAATATTTTAATTATACACGAGTTATTTATGAGCAAAAGATGCTCGCTACGAAAAATGTATGCTTGTTACTGTAATATGCGAATCGATTTTTATATCAAAACATGAAGATGTTGCCATAAACCTCTTTACCTTGGGCGTGATGTTTTTCCATTTCAGACAACATGCCATTCCCTAGAGTATCATTTGCTTTATCTAACGATTGCACTTTCAGACAACATGCCATTCCCTAGAGTATCATTTGCTTTATCTAACGATTGCACATAAGAAGACACATGAATATGAATACAACTCAAACAAACAATAATATTCTTAAGAGAATGACACGTGGTCTGAAATGGGAAAACATTACGTCCAAGGTAGAGGTCTATAAGAATAAGAAATAGACCATGGAAATAACTGCCGTGTGGGTTTCCTAGACTTATTTCTCGTGGGATACTCAGTTCTTATGCAGCGCTTTCGGCGACTTATCTTCGTTGCAATTGCTGGGTTTCAATCAGCTGATCTTTGTACCTCACCTATCTGCTCCAAATGGTGGTCAAACAGTGACCACCATGTGCTGTCAGCCAGAAAGAATTCTATTGAAAACTTGCGATTCAACTGATGAACATTCCGCTCGAGACAAGAAATGACGTCAATTAAAACCCAGCAATACGAGGACTTTAGGATGACGGTTATACAGGCTAGGTAACTAACCTGTAACAATCGTACAGTAGTTAAGTGATAGTGAGTTGTGCCTCAAAATGGGGGTAGGGTGCTAACCCGGGGGGGGGGGGGTACTCCCCTATATTTGCTATACGGGTATGTGCCGCCCTATAKGGTATGGTTTTTCGGCTTTTGGGTCTGGGGTAGGGTATCATTTTTTGACATTCTGTCTGGGATAGAGTCTCATTTTAGTCTGGGATAGGGTTAAGATTTGGTCGTTTTTGTCTGGCGAATAGGCTACGCTTTCTGCCGGCACAAAAACAATAAAAACGTTAGTAAATATTGATTGCAATCTATTGAATAACCGTATTTTCCGTCTTTTAGTCTGGGATATGGTGTGCAATTCTTAGTTTTAGTCTGGGGTAGGGTATGTAAAATCAAAATTTTAGGTCTGGGATAGGGTCAGGGTTTTGAGGTCCTGGCGGCACACCCCTACCCAAGTTGGGGTGGTAGTACCCCCCCGGGGGTGCTAAACACAAAAAGTCCCCCTTTTTCGCGTTAAACGAAACAACAGATTATATTTTTTTGTTTGATTCTCCCATTTAGTTAAACCCCAACAAGAAGGAAGACCACGTTCAGAGACCGACCTTTATCTTCGTCGAGTCAGCCATTACATAGAAGAAAGTGTCGTGTCTGTAACGTCCTATGAGAGTGAATACGATGAACTGAATGAAAGCATGAGATTAGGTTATCATGAAGGCATGTCAACATCTGCAGCTTTTCTTCTCGAATCTGATRAACACTCTTTAGCATCTAGTATGCCAAACTTAGCCGAGGCAAGCAGTACTAAGGCAAAAACACTACYTCTTGAGAAAGGTAAAACCTGTACGGAAAATACCTTAAGAACGTTTGAAAAAAACGTCTTGCCACGAAAAGGTAAACTACTTGCTGCAATAGACGAAGACGTCGACTTCCAGGCAAATAACACAAACGGTTTGCACAAACCTGGTAATTCCAGTATAATAGAAGTAAAAAGAAAGGATCCAAATGGAATATTGAACACTAAAGGGGATAGGTGTAAACCAAGTGCAGATGAAGGATCAGATGAGAAAAATGAGAAACTTCGAATATCCAGTAATAATGATAATGCGCTTGACAACGGTAAGGTATTTAATGATTTGCATGATGCCGAGCGAGACTCTGGATGTGTTGATTGCAATGGCTACGACCTGAAATCAACCATTTTAAAAACTAGGAAATGTGCTATAACGAGTGATGAAAGAGACGTTGAAGTCATATCGACAAACAAAGTAGATGGGGTAAGGGACGATAGAGAACAAGATAAACATAATGGTAGTATAAAGAGAAAGATTAGTACACTCAATATCAAAGATTAGCGGATAAAATCTATCGCGTGGGCGCATATATTTACGACATGACGGGAATCTATTCACTGAAAGGAAGAAAGAGATGGGACCACCTTGAAATGTTGCTATGATACCGTTATCTAATCAAATGATTGGGTTATATATCTTTTACTCTTGTCTTCAATCATATGGTCCATGTAGAGTTAATAAGAAGCCGGCAGACCGCTATCAGATCGGTGACTTGAGACTATAAGAAAGACTGGAATAAACCGAAATTTGATATACACTTAATATAACTGATTAGTTTCCATAGTATATCAAAGCATCCAGGCAGAGTAGTGACGGATGGCTTATAGACTGCCAAGTCACTATTGAAGGTACTGAGGCAGACAGGCACTAACGTCAGGTTGTTTGATTAACTGTTCGCTAAACGAGGGAAGAGCTACCTAAAACCCTAGTTATTATTTGCATTTCCTACTTGTAATAGAGTGCAAWCAGTGAAATAGTACTTACTAATTTGTACAAAATACACCAATAAAACCAATTTTAAACGAACAAAAGAAATAGATGTGTTTAGTGGTATTTAGTTTTTGTTCTATTTCATGGATATAGTGGTTTGCACTCGTGTTGTCAAGATCGGGGTTGTCAATGAACTTATCCTAGTGATGGTTTGAAACTAATGAATCACGCTATCATGTATCATAAGTCATGTATCTTTTTGGGCTGTGTCCAAGCAACGTAGAAAGTCGGAGCTTTTTCGTTGTCGCTGTTTCGTTTTTTCCTCTTTAGTAAATTAAAAATAAAATGAAAACAAGCCTCTATCACCGTGTTCTATTTTTTCGGTCGGCTTCCCTTCTCCGTTCAAGTTCTACTGCATTAAACTTTTCTAGGTATAATATTCAGAATGACTATAGAGGTCATAATCCAATGCAACTTTTTACATTGGCAGTATTTCGTAATGTTTGGTCCTTCATATTCATCATCCCCTCTCCCCACACTCCTCGGAATGTCGAAACAAACTGTAAATATGTGACACATTACTATTTCATTTCTTGATTTCAGTCRAGGTATTACATTGCCGCATCATATCTATATTCTGTTTTAATTAACTCGTAAATAATTACTTAGGAAACGAGCATTCGCTCAGTAACGAGTTTGTACGCTGCCTGGATGGGTTTCAAAGTTAATGATTCAGTTCCGCAAGTCGAGGGATTAAGTCGGGTTCAGCCTTGTTAAAAGACAGACGACCCTGTTTGCATTTCTTCGTTAATGAAACTTCGGTTTTATCTTTCCGAACACTTATAAAACAGCATGGATGCTTTCACTTGCCTGTCTCACAGCCAAATGAAAAGATGACGCCGCTCCAGCGGTCGTCAGTTCTGCCTCAAACACGTGCCGGATGTCACCCTCTGGTTCCAGGGGGATCTTGTTCGCGGGTTTGCTGAAAGCGGCAAGTAGTAAATCCGTGAAAAAAAATTCCTCTGGAACCCAGGGTATGGCTGTATGTAGATAAATGGAAGAAGACGATGGACTCGTGCTTGCGTATCTCGATGTATTACTTTTCATATTAAATTCTTATGCAAGATCTTTAGAGTTAGTACTCGACTTTTTCAAAAAGGTACTTGAGAGATCTGGTATTAACGAATGGCTTAGTAACTTGTGAGGTGGTCATGTTAATTCTAGTCCTACCCTTATCCAGAATGTGATTAAAAAATGTTGCCAATTAGCACATCCAATGTGGAATATTAGTAAATCGTGTAAGAGGATCATCGTAAAGGTAAATTAATTGTGTGGCTTTTGTTCTAACAAACTGAATGAAAAAGAAAATGAAAAAGCCTACAACGTCATCAACAGCACTGTTCCTAAAAACAGGAAATATCACAACCTCTTATTCCAAACAAAATTTCGAAGTCTGTAGRTAATATATCTAGTTTTTCAAAGTTAATACTGAATTCAGCGTGTTCATTCTACTAAACAGTTATTTCCCAATTTGATTTTTGTTTAAATATCCTAATCCTATCCCTATTTTCAAATCTGTAGAAGTAGAAGTTTAATATGATTTTTTGTTTGCATTAGTTGCCAGAACTTTTAGCCTCAACCAGTAAATATGTCACCTTCTGACCACTTGAAGGCAGTATCCATGGGCCTGTTTAAATAGAATCTTTGCCTAGAGTCGCCGTCTGTCATTTATCGTGGCATAGTCAATGATAATGAATTATGTATTTCACCTGCTTGTTTCGTTTTCCTTAGTGTAATTTATTCACGGATAGCTGCTAGTCGAGTTGGGTAAACTACCTACTCCCCATCAGCACTCGGTACAAGATAATCAACCTTTGCTTGACATACTTGAAAGTAAGGTTTTCATATAATCTTCCGGGGTCATAAAATACCGTTTTTCTTTTGTCAGTGCTAATAGTCAAGAGTGATTTTTCTTTTTCAATTGAAAAGTAGAAGCCGATTCAACACACTAGGCGAATATTTGATGGCCACGAGTCATTATTGTTGGCCAAGTCGCATCTGATACCACAGGAAACATTATGAAAACGCGTTATTCCACTCCGAAGACTTACTAAGGTTGAAAAATAACGCGTTGGTCAACAACTGACCTGACTTGATCGATCAAAAGACGCCGTTCCATTTTATCTAATTCTAATCTGTCAAGAACCGGTTTGAAATCTTGCGCATTTGGTTGTTATGACATATGACATCACTACAGTTAGCTGTAAATTGTCTTCGACTTACTTGAACCATGCCGGATACCATAACGTTCCTCCTAGCATATTAAACAGCTGTGGACTGGTTCAGTTCTTCACTCTAAAGGTCTTCATAGACGTGATGAATCTTGTCTGATGAAGACGGCAAAACGTGTATGTGTTGAACATTACAAATCCAAAAATCAAGTACTGGGGAATTAAGTTAGCGATTATTACAATCAACCATGATGAATGTTGCTGGCAATGGAAGCGTTTTTGAAACCCGTGTGATCTATAGCGAAATTGAATCTGCCTTCCAAGCTACTTCTCTCATCATCATAATGGGTGTAGCAATATTAACTAACATATTTAACATAACAGTCGTTTATCTAAACTATTCTATGCAGACTCCAAGATACATGTTTATTATTAACTTGGCTGGTGGTGATCTTGGGGTCGCATTGCTATCAATGCCTTTCTGCCTGGTGACGAGTATTGCTCGAGATTGGGTGTTCGGCTCCGCTTTTTGCCAGCTCCATGGATTTCTGGGATCACTGTTCTTCTGTGTATCAATATTTACCTTGACGATTATGAGTATTGAGCAGTATCATGCGTTGGTGAAGCCGCTATCAAGAGCTATCAACATACGTCGCGCTTGGTACATGATTGCACTTGTATGGTCTCTGAGTGTTCTTGTGTCTATCCAGCCAATATTCGGATGGGGACACTTTTCGTTCAACTCCAGCACCTTAGCCTGTGGCGTGAGCTTCCCGAAGCGCGTCACCGAGCGTCTCTATCTCCTCCTTCTAGTATTGCTTGCATTCGTCACTCCGTTGTTAATTATGGGATATGCTTATATAAGGATTTTTATTGCAGTACAAAAGCATTCCATTAGGATCGCTCAGTACACAAAAGGAGGCCAAGAGGTAATTCGTCTGCAACGRCGAATAACATTCACTCTTCTCTTAGTTCTGATCGTATTTTTGCTTTGTTGGATGCCATTTGTAATTCTTATAGTTCTAGCGAGCTCCAGACAAGACGTTCTCCAGCTTCCTTGGGGCCTGGGAGTCGCAGCCTACTGGTGTGGCTTCTTTAATTCTGCATTAAATCCTATCATCTTCGTTATCAGGAATGATAAATTCAGAGAAGGATATATCGAGATATTGTCATGCCTGTGGGGTTGCATTAGGTGCCGGGACATAATTGTATTAAAAAAAGGACGGAGGAGGAGCTGGCAGCTGAGTCGATCCATGAAGCGCGCTAGGCCTAGCATCGTGTTGGGATCTGTCAAACGATTTGCACCTCCTCAAGAACTCGTCAACGAAGAAGGAGATTCTTGATTTCTTATCAACAACTAACATCTATTTAATGGACTTTTAAATGTCTCCTGTGAGAAAACATATATTTAAATCCCTAATTGTCATTGGTGAATGAAAATAAACACCACTAGAAGAAAATGATTATTGGTCGTTTATACATCTTTGACTGTTATAAGTTTAGTCAATAGAGATTCACAGTCGGCAACCAAAATATCTCGGTAAAATCAGGGACTTTGGAAGAAGAGGTGATTGCCAAACTACTTTCCTATTGATATTTCAATAACTGATTTGAAACAGGAGACTGATATGAAGAAAAATATATTTCTCAGCTTTTCAAATCCTACGGGGCTAATGAATCAAACTAAATTGTGAACGTTTCGGCTTCAGTCAGCAAAATGAAAAACTAAAGGAATAAGAAATTTACGTTTTTGCAAAGTGTTCAGTTGACTGAATGTTCAAGGAGGTTCCAGGGGAAGACCCGGCCTGTCACCCAAGTATATAGGTTACCTTCCTGTGCTAACATTTTATCTCAATTACAGGGATTTTTTTYCCCTGTCCAAATCGGTGCCAATAACTCAAATGCCAGAAATGTTGCGATTGTTATTGGTTCTGGCCGAGGACACTTTTCTCCCGGGGGGGGGGGGGGGGACCCCCCCCCCAATTTGGGGGGGGGGGTCCCCCC